GGGGGGGGGCAGGAGCAAGGCAGGATTGCCCCAGTCCACAGGTGCCGAGAGGCTGAGACAAATTGGGAGCAATGGGACACGCCGCAGCACCCTCCTCCTCCTGCCCCCAGCCCCAGATTTACCCGCACAGCAGGGGACAAACACCCTTTTTGTTTTCCAAATGAGAAATCACGTCGGGTTTTAATTTATTAACGGCAAACATCTGTGCCAGGCGGAGCAGTCGCAGCCTGGCTCCCCAAACCCCACTCCCCGCGGAGCCGAAGCCGAGGGCAGGGCACGGCAACATGAGCAGGAGATGGGGAGGGGGAGACCAAAACAAACATCCCACATCCCGCCGGGACCCTGCTGCAGAAAGGCAGAACAAAAGTGGCACCGCTCTGGTCGGGAAGCAACTCCACTGCGGGGAAAGCAGGTTGGGGAGTAAAAGGAGAAAGCGTAAATACTTTGGAAACAACCCCAGAGAAGGGCAAAGCTGGAGACGGCACTTTATAAAAGCACGGCTTCGCCCCCACCCGAATCCCTCTCAGCAAAATAAGGGTTTTTTGCAGCTACGCCTGGCACAGCACATTTTCAAAATCCACATTTCCTGCCACAAAAGTTATGGGACACCCTCCCCCCCACCGCCCCTTTATTTTCTCTCCTTCTTCCGTTTTTTAATAGGCCCAATGATGCCGTATTTGTATTCCAGATCCGAGCTACCCTGCGCTCCGGGGAATTTCCCTCCCGTCGTCAAGGTCTGGCCGCATCCAGGAGGGATCGGCTGGGGGACTTTGGACTCTGGAGGAAGGACCCAGCCCGCTGGGTGACGGCCACCCGCTGGGAAACCCTCTCGGTGGCACAAAGCTTCTCACCACCTCCTCCTGCCTCTCTCCCAGCTGGGAGCCGGGCCAGGGATGCGGGGCCACAGGATGCTCAGCAATGTTGGCCCCTTGCCGGGTGCACGGAGCTCCCCTGGGAGAAGGGGGGAGATGTCAAAAAAAAAAATTAAAAAAAAATTGTGAGTTGTTAAAGGGCGTTTTGGTTTTGTTCAAAGCACCGAGATCCCGCGCTGCTTCCACGCCATGCTTAAAAGCAGCGAGTTTTGGGGTGTGCTTCTCCAGCCGGAGCAGCCCGAAAGCCAGCGCAGCCCTTGCAAAAGGGCTCCTGGTGCCACGCAGCTCCGTGGCACGGTGGCTGCCAAGACACAGGCTGGCAAGTGGCACCCAGAGGGGACACACCACCATACGGGAAGCCCCAGGTCATGGGAGAGGGTTTTCCCCTCCCCAGTACAAGGTCTCTGCCCATCACTCCTGCCCAAACCCTGGTCCAGTTCAGCCAAAAACTCCCGACGCTCAACAAGAAACTTCATCTCTGCCAGGTATTTCTCGCCACAAGTCATCCCCCCTGCCCAGGGGCGGCTCCTCCAACACCTTCGTGACCACCCCGAGCCCCAAACAGCCCCAGGGCCTTTTGCCAGTGCTGCAGTGGGGCACCTTTCCCGTTGCAGGCAGCGGGGTGTCCCCTGCCCCCCCCGCCAGGCGTTTCCATCCCCCGGGGGCTGGGGGGGAAGCCATCGAGCA